GGTTTACAAGTGCAACAGGTACAGGGCCAGTTATGAGCGACAAAAAATGATCATTCACAAAACCGACACTTTCATTAGCCGATGCAATAATTATTATGGCCTCAAAGTACTCAGGATTGTATAGGTTGCTCACCTTATCCAGCTAAACAAACTCTATAAGATCAAAAAATGGATCTGCAGAATCACGGATAAGCATGTCATCAAAAATTTCAATTTCAAAATTGTTTTATTAGTATTAGTCTTAGTCATAATCATCATACTAATACTAATATTAATATTAATATTAATATTAATACTAATACTTATACTATTACAAATACTTATACTAATACTAATGCTACTACCAATACTAATACTTTAATGCTAATATTAATGTACTAATGTCAATACTAATGTACTGATACTAAAACCAATATCAATACAAATATCAATACCAAAACCAATACTAATACCAATACAAATATCAATACCAATTGTTTTATTAGTATTAATCTTAATCATATTCCTTATACTAATACTAATACTAGTACTAATACTAATACTAATACTAATACTAATACTAACACTAAAATTAATACCAATACTAATACTAATACTAATATTAATACTACTACTAATGTTAATACGTTAATTCTAATATTAATGTACTAATGCCAATACTAATGTACTAATACTAAAACCAATAGCAAAAAAATAGCAATACCAAAACCAATATCATTACCATTACCATTACTATTACATTTACCTTTACAAATATTAATACTAATCTGATAATAATACTATTACTATTAGTAATACTAATGCTACTGATAATCCTAATATGCTAATGTTAATGCTAATACCATTGTCAATATCAATTATAATCTTAATCATAATCTTAATGCTAGTGTTAATGCTAATCCTAATCCAAATACGTTAATACTAATGTCAATCCTAATACACTACCAAAAAACAAGGCTTTTGTGACAGCCAATTTTGTCAAAAAAATCAACAAAATCAGTCACAATTAAGCTTTAGTGACGTGATATGGACGGAATATGTCTGTCAGAAACACCCTCGTCACTAATGTAATAAGTGACGGAGATTTTAATTCCGTCACACCGTTTATCACAGAAACATTCGTCACAAATGAAAGTAATTCCGTCAAAATTACCATATTGAAGACTCTGAAAATCTATGACGGATACCGTCACAAGCAATCTTTTTTTGTCAATAATTTGTCACTACCTAACAAAATATTTTCCCTAAAATTGTGACGGATTCCGTCAAAGTCAAGTTTTTGCAGTCAATAATCCGTCCCTAAACTATGTGACGGATTCCGTCACAAACAATTTGTGCTGTCAATAATCCGTCCCTAAACTATGTGAAGGCTTCCGTCACAAACAGTTTGTGTTGTCAATAATCCGTCATTAAGCATCAAAATATTTTTCTTAAAATCTGTGACGGATGCCGTCATAAACAATTCATGTTGTCAATAACTCGTCACCAATGAATGAAAGATTTCGTTTTATATTTGTGTCATAGAGGGCGTCACAATTAGTCACCAATCCTCTGTCACAAACACTTTGTCACAAATTGTCTGTATCAAAGAAATGTACTACAAAACCAATAAAATGATCATATAAGTATATTAAGACAATCATTATCTCTGTTGCGATATTTCAAAAGTTTGCTAATATATCTATTGGTAAAAATCTAATACAAATGTCAAGCCATAAATATCTTATAACAAAGACCCAAGCCCTAAACAATTATCATGTATCACCCCCAACATCCGCAAGCCATGTTATCGTCATTTATATTTCTCTCCCTCTCATCCCCTCAACCCTCACCAGTTCATCTTGGACGATCTTTTCAATTTTACAATTTGACAACTTCATCCTGTATTTGCATAGCACGTGGTCCCTGCCCAACACTAGTCTCACATCTGCATCTTTACGAATAAGATAAACTGCATGTGACAATGTAACACACAAAGGAGAAATTTCAAATAAACTAAGTCCAATTTTCTTACATAAAGCAGAACACCAAGAGAAAGAATACCAAAAGAAAATTACTGAGAAATACTAGCGAAAATATACGAGTACATAACTACATGCACTGACATAATAAAAACGAGAATAGAGAAAGTTATTAAAGAATCACTTGAGATGCCTGATAAGTTCCTACTCGAGGAACAACCTGATGCTCTGCCATTTGAACTTTTATATATCATCATAATTCTAGATGTCGAGTCCTTGGGGGATTTTGAACTAATGAAAAAAAAATTGTGAGATAGTGTGGTGCTTACATGCAATGATGAATCGTATTGTTCACTAGATCCCAGAACTAAACATATCCAACCTTACCATCTATTAGTGATTTCCATGGTTTCGGGATGGTAGGATCTTCGATCACATACCGTATACCAATTACTATAGCTGCTAAGCTTCCGTATTGAATATCCTGCCATCAAAAAATCAACAAAGATCAGAAATAGTAAGAGGTATTGCCCAAAATATTAAACTGTTAAATTACCAAAACGAATATATAAAAAACAAAATGTGCCAATTAGAGCCAACCATCATATTCCAAGATTGAAGACAAATATTTTGATTAAAAATGGAACAACTATACCAAGAAAGAGCATAACCAACCTGTAGAATGACTCCATTTTAATGTTGGAACAACTTCATGAGTATAAGTTGTGGTCCCCAGGTAGGTGTTAATGTACCCTATATGTAGGGGTGGGCATTCGGGTCGGGTTATTCGGGTATAACCCGACCCGGTCGGGTATTACCCGACCGGATCGGGAATTTTTTAACGTAGCCGGGTCTTTCCCGGGTTCGGGTACCCGGTGATACTCAAACCGGGTCGGGTTCGGGTAATAGAATTCCTACC